GGAAGGGGGGGGGGGGGGGCTTCCCAATTCCGCGGGGGGGGGGGGGGGAAAGGGGGGCCCTTTTTTTTTTTGGGGGGGCCCCCCCCCCCCCCCCCCCCCCCCGCTGAGCCGGCGGCACCGCAATTGTGGGAAGAGGGGGGGTGGGGGCTCTTTTGCCCCGACTCCGTGGGTGGGCGGGCGTTGATTAGCCCCCCGATGTGAGTGCTAAATAGGAGGCTGGCTGTTGACGCGCGGCTCGACTATTGTCGGCGGTGACTTGCGCCTGCAGCAGGCGGGGATTGGGGGGTGGAGGGGGGGGGGAAGTCTTGGCCAAGTTTTTGTCGCTTAAACGGGGAGAGGCTGCCGGATCCAACTGGCCTCTCTCCGCAAGCAGTTCGTGTAGAATGCTATACACGCCGCTGGCGAATAAATTCCCACGGTACACAAAGAGGCAGGGAACACACCGGCCAGCGCATCATCGGCTAGGGAGAGGCTGTAGGTCCTTGTTGTATGAACCACTCTTGTGTTGTTTTTGTCGATGCGTGAGAGAGGTCGTCGATCATTTTCTCGGGATTTGGTTGGCCGTAGCGGTGGGATGAGGTTTCTGGAGGGTGTCGTAAGTTTCGAATAATGGTTCCGATTACACACTCGATCGATCGTAGTTCTCCGACCGATAGATGGATCCGCGGTCATTTTTTTTTACATTTACGAAGTATATACTTGTTTTCTTTTTTCGGGGGAGCATCCGATCGTTCGTTCTTTTTGCTTCTTCGTGTTGTTTGGGCGTTTCCATCGCACATGAAGCGTGTACCATGAGTTCTATTTCACGAGAGATGATGGATGATGATTTTTCATGCCTGTAAGATGCAGTTGGTCATGTTTTCTGTTTGTTTTCGCGGGGGGATTCATCCCGCACGCAATAGATCGAGGCAGCTCCCATTGATCCGCTGGTCCCTGAACTACGGGGCATTTCTCAAACAACATTTTTTTTCTGCCGTTCTGTTTTGTGTCATGTGCCATATGCCGTAGTATCATACGCGCGTTCGGCGAAGAGAAGGTTCTTAGATGTGAGGGGGAGAAGCACCACAGGTGGTTCCGCCGCTGCTGCGGTGGTCGTCTTTTTCGTGGTTGTTTGCCGTACGCCCGTATGGATTACGTGCACACCCTAACGCGCCCGCTTTGTCTGCTGTTGGTGCGCGTCGCGAGTATAGGTTTAGATGCGGTTGTGTATTTCTGCACTTCGTTCCCGTTTTTCTTTTTCTTTTTCTTTGTGGGCCTTATATCCTTTCCTAGGCAGCAGGCAGAAGAAAAGT